CTCGTGGATCCACCAGAGGTCGGCCTCGTGTCCGAAGTAGAACGAGGCTATCTCCACACGACGTTCTTCTGGGCATTCCACTAACCCTAGAATTTTGTCGAGGGTCCGGATCCATTCCTCCAGGATTACGGGGTCCTCTTCTCCTGAGAATGTGGGTGGTCGATGGTTTGAAACTTGTCGGGCGACGTCTGAGTTCGCGTTTGATGGAGGAGGCGGGGGCCTGTTGTTGCGAAGAGCTACGTGGCTTAGTGCCTGGGCGACTTGCGTTAGTTGTTGTACTGTTTGGGTCAGGGGGTCGTGTGCGGCGAGTTCTAGAGTCCTTGATTGTCTTCTGTTTGGTGCCATGCTGTCGTCTTTCTGGGTCAATGTTTATAAGAATGTTAAATTAGACCTTGGTGCTCTTCTTTCGATGTGATAAGCGGGGAAAAGTTTTCTTTAGATAGGGGAGGGATAAAGTGAGGAGAGGTTATGTGTAGGTTTCACAATCTCACCGCGCGTCCTAGGATTCCCGAATCCTATGTTCCTAAGTACCTAGGGTTCAAGTCTATGTCCTAAGGTCTGTCTTAATAGTCTTATCCTAAGGTCAAACTTAGGCTCTGATACCAACTGTAACACCCCGAAATTTTGAAACTTTTGAAGTTTATATAATAAAGGTGAAATCTCATTAATTCCCAAAACATAATACGAAGAGTACGGGGTTCTATGCCACACCTGAGCTAGAGAACTCAGGTGCACAGGCTAACTAACTATTATCCTCAATAATGTAACTACATAATCATGGCACGCAGGCCGAAAGGGAAATTAACTACTTCTACGCTCCAAGGTTCTAGCGCGCTCCAGTGTCTACTCTTCTGTGCCTGAAAGCCAAATATATCTGTTCAGCGAGACATGCTGGTAACCCACTCCAATGCGTTGAAATACAATACATATAGATATATATACCTAGTTATACGAAAAACCATTTCGAAGCATGAAGATATATCCTAAGAGACTCTAGCTTTCAAACAGGGAATAGACTCGACAGATAGGGATGAACACAATCAACAGACATAACCAAGCACACACAATTCTCAACGTAGGGCACAGATATAGATAATCACAGTCAATAATTATAACCAAACATATATAGTTCACTAGCAAGTGTCCTATGGTCACGCCTTCGTAACAATCACAACACCAAACCATCCATATCTCATCACATAACACACTTTGTTGGCGCCACAGGACCAATCGCATGCCCATACATGAGGGTCAGCGCATATAGCTCTGACACGGCCCCGCAGCACCCTGCCCCGTATCGCAACACGGAGGGGTCGATCACAACCGACCGATGAACCGCAGCTCATCATAGTTTGATCGCAACCAAACAGTGGACCGCAGCCCAAGAGTATGTCATCTGACCGCAGCTAGGAAATATGAACCGCAGCTCATGTAGAAACGTTTGATCGCAACCAAATGGTAGACCGCAGCCCAAGAGTGTAAATCTGACCGCAGCCAGCTTCTGAACCGCAGCTCAGGAATAACCAATCCGATCGCAACCGGATTGGGGTATCATGCACACATAACACATAGCAAGCACATGCAACCCACATTAACACATTGGAAAGGGGGAGAAAACGTATAACAAAACCTATGCTTGATCCTTCACATACTAAGAATAATCCTAAGGGGTACATACTTCTTTTACCTAGGTCAACAGGATACCAATTCAACTAGCATGCAATATATAAGGCTCATACAACCTACGAACAGTACCCGAAATATCAAACTAGACATAGGCACGATATATGGAGTCCGTTGGGACGCCACGGGGGTCGGGGGAACATCAAACGGGGAAGCCAAAATCCCAAGGTGGGGTATTTTCCAGCGGGTAGTCGGTGGGTGAGGGGTCACCCGCCGGCTGCCCACTGCCGGTGTTGCCCATATTGGTCCCGGGTAGGTGGCGGGTCCCCTACCCCCCACTGATTTTTTTATCACAGAAAACGCCCCGGGAACCATTATGGAACCCGAAACCATGCTTAGATACTTTCAAACGCAATTGACAACAACACGTAGACAATTAACGGATCCAAAAGCAAGAACATATGGCACACAACCTATCATGCTTTTCTAAACATAATCAACACCCAAACATACGAATTCCCACCCAATATACCAAGAGTAATACCATACGAGTTTCCCGATACAACCTAGGATTCTAATTACTTTTATTTCAACAAGAACACAATTCATCTTCTAATATCAAGATTCGGTAGGAATATCACATAAACATCAAGAGCATCATATAATCATCAAGAATATCAAGAACACCACATAATCATCAAGAACATCAAGAACACCATATAATCATCAAGAATATCAAGATCACCCACGGAATCACAACACCAATATAACGAATCATCAACACACAAGAATATGGGGGAAATCCTAAGAGGGGATCATAGCTATGAAAATAGGTTTTGTTGAGACATGGGTTACCTCTTAGCCTTAATTAATTCCTTGGCTATGAAGGGTCTTTCTTTAAGCTTTCTTCTTTCTTGATTTCTCCTAGGGGAATTCTTGGAATTCTTGGTGTGGTGAGAGATTATTGTGGTGGGGGTTCTAGGTGCTTCCTATGTTCCCTATTTATATATCTAAGAGTCTTACTTAGGGTCCAATTACTATAGGCTTGCTAACTCTATTCCTTTTAGGACTAGGGGTTGGGTTTAGAGATGAGGGCCCACAGACTATGGTGGGCCTTTTCCTAATTAATTATTGTAATTTAATTCTTTCTTTTGGGCAATTGGTTAAATGATTAATTTGGTTTTAGGGGTCGTAACACAGGGTGTTACAGCTACAGTTAGACGGAATTTCCATCCAACGGTCCGTCCACTTCTATTTGCGACGGAATGTTGTGATTTTTTACAAATTACCGACCAACATTATTGTTGGACGGAAATAGCAAAATTTCCAGCCGTGGTTATATCTTTAGAAATTTTGACTTCTTTCAATTTGGCAGTTGTATTAACATACAATCAACTTACTAAGAGCATCCTCATTAATACATTTTGGTGTGATTTTTTAGGAGGTCAAGCCTATGTGGAGGGAGGGGAGGAGAGAGAAGAAATGAGATTCTTGTAGTGAATGATGGATTTTTGTCTCCATAGTGAGACTCGCCGAGAAAGAAGAGAAGAAAATGTGGCTCGCGTGAGGCGCAAATCTCGCGCCCAGCCGGGCGCGTGGTCAACTGGGCGCGTAAATCTTTGTTGTTGTTGTTGTTTTTTTTTTTTTTGTAATTTTATTTTATCAATTTTTTTTCCTTCCCTTTCATCTTCTCTTTCATAGTTATACTTGCAAAATTTTATCAAAAATTACAAATATTGGAGATGCTAAAAGTGTTTATCTCCAAGATACTATCAAGTAAAAATAATTTTTATTTTAAATGAAAGATTTGTGGAGATCAGATTGATTCCCAAGATTTGAAATATAATTCATACATACGTGTTGCCACTAACTTAACATTACGTGCTTGGAACAGATGAATAACAACTAATTTCTCTTTCTTCTGCTCATTCTTTTTAAGCCTTGTTTGGTCCGAGGAAAAGAGAAAACAATCCCCCATTATTTTCCACAGCTCACAGGGTTCGCATATTATATCCTGAGTTCCACCATGCATATATGGTTTACCTTTAAAATATTTACGGCATTCTAACCATTTTTATTAAAATATTAATTCCACCAAAAAAAATTTAAAATATTTAGACCATTCACCATTGCATTTCTTGACTTAGTATTATTTTGTCTTCATATCTTTGGTTTTGACCTGTGTGCATCTTGCTTTGTTTTAGACCGCCACTGTGTTATTGTGTTTGCTTTAGGCATGTGTTATTGTGTTTGCTTTAGGCATGTGTTATTGTGTTTATTTTAGGCCTACATGTCATTGTGTTTACTTTAGGCATATGTGTCATTGTATTTACTTTAGGCCTATGCACCACTCCATTCTCCTTTGGTTCTAGTTTGCTGGCCTAGGTGCCTCCTTATAGCCTACTTGGACTTTGAGTCGCTTTTATCATTTTGGCATACTCCGAGAGCTGTCGTTGTGCCTGTAGATCAACTATCTAGCTCGTTGAAGGAATTATATACACTAGTTAGCCTACCTTGAAAAATTTCTTAGAGATGTTTTATATAGACAAGTATCATTTAGTTAGCAAACTAATGGTTGTATGTACAATCTCTTGAAGTAGATAAAGACTCATTTCGAGCTAAAGAGGTTAATGAAGGTATTTTAGGACCTGAAGTTCATTACTTCATTGCCGTTGGAGCACTACTTTAGGACTAAAAGTTCCATAATCACACTATGTATGATTAGTGGCGGATCTTGAAAATTATGTGAGTGGATGCGTAGTTCAAATGACTTTAGAAATCGACTACAGGATAGTTCTGTTATTTTGTTAGGGGCGGATTCAAAACTATACTTGGATAGGGTTAATTTTTAAAACACTTTGAAATGCTATAAAGAAACATAACTAAATACTTTAATTTCACGGAGTAATTTTCTTTTAGTTAGATCAATTTTAAATTTTTCTAGATTAATTCGAATACAATGAAGTATAATATATACTTGTGGACTACATTAACTAAATGATTAATTCGAATATCTTCATATAAACATGTGGATTACATTCAAAAAAAATAGACTTGAAAAAATATTTAATTTATTGAATGATTAGAAGGGAAATTAAAAAATATTTAATTTATTGAATGATTAGAAGGGAAATTAAAAAAAAATACAAAAAACTGCTATTAGTGGAATTTGATCACATGCCATATATACCCTAATAAATCCAAAGTTTCAACCAACTATGCCGTTGATATCTTTAGTTATTCTTATGTTTATATATATATATATATATATATATATATATATATAAGGGTTAGGGGGAGGGGGTGAGTGGTGGCAGCTGTCCCCATTGTAGATCTACCAATGTGTATGATATTGTATTTGTGATGAATTTGCTAGCAGGATTTATTGTTTCTCCTACCATGAAACATTAGAACAATGTTTAACATATCATCAAGTATCTTCAAGGTACAAAATATTTTGGTAATTATGCGAGAAACCATGATAGTAGTGGCGGACTCAGGAATTTTTTTCAGTGGGGGCAAAAAATTAAAATAAAAGAGAAAATTTGAAAATAAAATGAAACACTTGAAGTATAACTATAAATATTGTTGGATATAGCGAAAAATAAAACATATCAAAATTTTATAAAAATATTTATAACAAAATATGAAACATAATTAATTTGATAAAATGATTCGAATATAGAATACATTATAAATTACACATCCCAAAAGAAAGTAAAATGATTCGAATATAAAATACATTATAAATTACACATCCCAAAAGAAAGTTTTATATATATATATATATATATATATATATATATATATATATATATATATCCCAAAATTTAACGGTGTTGAGCAAAGATTTGAAGAAAATTGTGCTTGGGTTCATGCAAGGACTCAAACCTAGGCCAATTTGAAACCAAAACACATTTCTTACCACCTTGTCTAACAAATCTTATGTTTATATAATCTGTTTTTTAATACTTATCTACTATACTAATAAGAGCCCAAGAGAATTAGGTCTATAATGGATAGAAAACATGGCGGTCAAATTTTTTAATCAAATGAATGGTTCAGATTTTAATTTTTCTTTAAGATTTCCTAATTTATCCTTAATGAATATGATTATCCGTTAACTTTTCGTTAAATATTATCTTTTCCGTTAATTTCTGTTAGTTCACCGTTAACTTACTCATTGATTTCAATAAGAAAGGTCTTAGGTTCGAACCTCATCCCAATCAAAGTTGGCATAATTAGTACTCTATTCTACTCATATTAAATTAAAGGGAAAATGGCACTTTTTCCCCCTAAGCTATATACTTATAGCACTTTTTCCCCCTGAATTATTTAAGTGGTTATTTCCCCCCCTAAAATGTTAAATGGACATATTTACCCTTAAAATAAATATTTAAAATTAATATTTCATTTTTTTTTATTCTCCAACAAATTATTACTATAATTTGGTTCAAACCAAACAGATACTATAGCAACCAAACCAAAATATTCCAATTACAATTTATAATCAAAACGCGATACTTAGAGTTTAGTAGCTACAACAAAAAATATCATCACAAAGAGAAATAGAATTAACAAGTGTTTTAGATGACTTGCCTTCTTCTGTATGAGGCATCTCCTTAAATTCTAGAACAAGAGTAACAGCAGTAGTAGAGGACTGGCTAGGCTGATTTTGGAGCAGGGAAATGAGTTTCTGCAATTGATCATTAGAGATTCCAATTTCTCCTAGACTGCTTGACACATTGGCTGTACTCATCTGTTGTTTCCCTTTGGATTTGAATCCCGGCACCCACCCCGGTGGATAACCGTGTTTCTTATAGCATTTATCGATATTGTGGCCACTCATTCCATAGAAAGCACATTTTGCTCCTTTGTTCCCATTGCCATTGCGCCTTGCAGTGTATGTATTCACAGCAGCCACTACCTCATTAGAAGAGCTCTGGTTGTGGACTGCATTAGCTTGAAAAATCTCTAGGTTTCCAGCATTCATGAGATTAATCTGTTTCTCCATTTTTTCAGCCATGACGAAGACTTTGTACACTTCCGGCAAAGGATCGAGGACGAGTACATTTGACTTCAAGCTTCTATAATCATCATTGAGTCCTTGAAGGAATCGGATGACACGATCTGTGCCACGTTCGTTCCTGATCTTGTCAACGAGATCACAGGAACACCTTGGAACACATTTGCAAATCGGAAGTGGTCGCAATGTGTTCATCTCCTCCCACAAGGTTTTACACTTCGTATAATAGTCATTTACAGATTGATTGTTCTGTTTCAAGCTGTAGATTTCATTCTGGAGTGTTGATATCTTCTGAGCATCACACTGTGAGAATCTCCTTCTGAGATCCTCCCAAACATCCTTGCCTTGATCCAAGTACATGATGCTGCCTGCTATGGACGAGTGCACTGATCGAAATATCTAGGAACATACGATCAGGTTACATCTTCTCCAAGCTCCATATTGAGCTTGACTTGGAGCTGGAACGCTTCCTTCAACAAAGCACCATTTGTTTTTCACTTCTAATGCGATTCGCATAGAAATGCTCCAAACACCGTAACTCGAACTTCCGATCAGAGGAGGACTGACAAGCACTGTGCTCGGATTGTCTGCAGAGCTAAGGAAAAGAGGATTGTCAATTTCTTCCAGGTTAGAACTTCTGTATGTCTGTGGAACTGAAGTTGAAGCATGGATCGGAGATTCAGAGATCGGCGCTTGTTGATCTAGAGGCGGCGGCGGAGGTTGCGGATTCATCTCGCCGGAGAGGGCGGCGGCGTAGGAGCCCCATCGGGCATCTGATACCATGATAGAGTGTAGTGCATGAACTTGTATGATATATTGAGGATGGTAAAAAATGATACAGAGAAGAAGAACGATACAAGCTTTTATAGCCAATAAAGACTGAGGCGATTATAACAGAATTCAAAAGCTTGTGTAGTTACATTGATGCCCTTCTTCGTTTATATCCTCCTTCATCATAACTTACCACACCCCAATGGTGTATTTCCGAACACTGTGTTATTACTCACACCTAATGGTGTGCTTTTGGTGATGCGTACATAATTTTTGTGTGTTTTTTTGTGGTGCATTTTTCCTAACGTTGATGGTGTATATTTGTTGAACTATTGGTGACGCTGCACCGCCGCACCTAAAGACACCGCCGCACTTGAACCTTACTCTATATATATATATATATATATATATATATATATATATATATATATATAAGTAGGACAATGTAGTACATGAATCTAAAAGATATGGTGTAACGCTGTAACCTATGTAAGGCTTGTGGCCCTCGTAATCCAGGAAGGATTGTATGTATCTTTTGCAAATGATTACATACAGACAAACACCCAATCTTGTAGTTATTCTTATTGCATGCTCCATCACATTGGTGCTATATCCGATCCTCGCCGAATAATTAATGCCATTCTCATTCTTGAACTACACACCAAATAAAGATTAGATTTTTTTTTGTACGTGATTTCAATTTCATCGAATTTATTCTAATTTCATAGGACTCAATTCTTAGAATCACACAAGAAATTCAATTTACATGTTCTATTATTATGAGCCTTTATTTTTTTATTTTTTTAAAATGCTACTGACTCTATTAGAATGTAATATATGTTAATACATATTTTCTTAACTTACTGAAGACAAAGAGTCAATGTTCCTACACTGAAGTTTGAACTTAAGACCTCTTATTTGAAAAATCACAACTATGCTGCTGGACCACAAGACCTTTGGATTATTCGTGTATAAGGTAACTTTCCCTCATTCTCCTTGAAAACGTTAACAAAAAATTACTTTTTATAGAACCTCATTGATAACTCTTTGTTTATAAAGAGGATGAAATCAAAATAGATCATATATCATCAATTTTCAAACGTATGACCTGTACCAATTACATTGTTTTAGAGTTTAACTTGATTTAATTTTTTTTTAATGTGATTTTTACGATTTTCATGTAAAATATATTGGCGGTGTTTGGTACATAGCTATTAGCTTATTGGGTTAGTGAGTTTGACTAGTTGATAGCATTAGCTGATTACATATACAATGACTTTCTCAAAAAGCTGATCTAAAAAGTTACTTTGAGTAGTTTTTTGAATTTTAGCATTTTGGAGTAATAAGTTGTTACAAAAAGCTAATTAATCAAACACTCATATAGATTGTTTAACCAAGTCAAAAAGTTAATAGTGGTTAAATAAGCCAAAATTGACTAATACGCTTACTATTTTACCAAATAGGGCCCTTATGTACATTTTAATCTCATTCGCTATTGCATTCGTGCTTTCAACATTTGGGCTTCTATCTATTATCCAAAATTTCATGTGAGAGTAATATATAATTCCAATCATTATTGTATGGACCATGGTCCATACAACTTGTGTGAACCATATTTTATCTGCTGTAAAATAATGTACATTTAGTACAAAAATAATGTACATTCAGTACAAAAATAATGTACATTATATTCAGGGGATGTACATTATTTTTGTTCTGAGTGTACATTATATTGTATAATGTACGTTCAGTACAAAAATAATATACATTTAGTATATTAAAAATGTACATTTAGCTGCTCCTTTTGCTAATGTTAGCTTTGTGTTTGTTAATTGATTAAATTAGAGAATCAAGTTTTTCATTTAATTATATTGCTAGGGGTATAATTTTTGTGCATGATTGTATGGAGTGGTATACCACTTCCCTATCCTTTATTATTGATATACTTTGATTCTTATTGTTTCTCATTTATAATATTGTTTTTGTTCACTTTGGAAAAAAAGTTATTATATCATAGATTAATTTTAATGATGTGAATTGTTACATATTCACAAATAATAAGATAAATATATTTAGTCCACATGGGTAGCTCAGTTGGTTTCTTGGTGATAGATTGTGTATAAGGGCACGGGATTAAGCCTTGACAACCGTGTGGAGGGTGGCTCCTGTAGGCAACAGGCACTAACCTTCCCGAACTGCTGAGTCACATTGATTTATCCCTCAACAATCTTATTAATTAAGCCGAGTTGTTAGGATCCTTAGGCAGGAGTACGTTTTCACCTTTTGCAAGTATTAAGTGGGAATTAAACCTCAAGGCAGAAGCTCTTAGGGTCCGAGAGGCTCTAAAATGGATCAAACCCCTGCGTATTAATAATATCCAGATTGAATTAGATTGCAATCAAGTGATCAACGCTATCCAGCACAATCATCTTGTGTCATCTTTTGATCTTCTTATCAATGATATTATAGTAATAGGTAGAGAGTTTGTTAACCGTAGCTTCACTTTTGTTAAACGGTTTGCAAATAGGGTCGTCCACATTCTTGCTAGGGATGCCCTATCCAAGTCAGATTGTATGGACTATACCTCGATCCCTTTTCCTTGTATTTCACATGTTCTGACTCTTGATCTTGATTTATATATATATATATATATATATTGGATGCTATTGGCTCTATTACATTGTAGTATCTGTTCATATATTTTCTCAACCTGCTGAAACACAAAGAACCAATAACGCCTCCACTAAGGCTTGAACTCATAAAGAAAAAATTAAATACTTATATAAACTATATAAAGATGAAAAGAAAATGTTTTTCATACGATTGATGTTGGCCTGGGAAATAGCATTGTTAAGATCAGACAACATTCGGCATTTTCTTACGCTACACGTTTCACTAATTTCTTGATTAATTTTCCCTGTTCCTGTGCACAACTAACTTTATGTCACCGTTTAAAATGTGTATTTCACATGTCTTAACCATTTAATTAGCATTCAAAAAAACCATTTAATTAGAAAGGGATAATACTACAGTATTTGCCAATATTTAAATATTTACAAGTTTGTCCAGTTAGATATCAATGGATCCATGCATAAGTGATGCCCATATACATATAACCAAATTGGCGCGGCTTGTAATATCGGGGCAAATTATGCTCTGAACACGCAAGGTGGGCACGGTTCCATATAAATAATTTTTATATTATAGATTCATAATTTTTATATTGTAGATTCATAAAATTTATACTTTAGATTTTAATTGTTGAATTCTGTTTTCACAGATCAGAGAACGATATGTTCATAATTTGATAACTATACAGTTTAGAAATTATGAATTTACAGTATAGAAATTATGAATCTACAGTTAATTTGCAGTATAGAAATTATGAATTTACTGTATTTAAATTATGAATTTACGGTTTAAAAATTATGAATGTAAAGTATAAATTTTATAAATCTAAAATATAGAAATTATGGATCTACAATATAGAAATTATGAATCTATAATATAAAAATTATGAATATGGAATCATAGGTGGGCACATGCTCAGATCATAACGTTCCTAATGTCGGCCGTAAGCTAAAGCAAAATCTGCGTGCATTTTGGTGAGTGTTAGGTGAAGAGGGTAGACAGGCCGCTGTTTTCTTACACCTAACAAATGCTTGACACTTTTAAAATTATATATATATATATATATATATATATATAGAGAGAGAGAGAGAGAAGGGATCAGGTGCATTTGTGGCTTCCCGTGCAGATGTGCGGTGGATTAATGTACGTGAGGTTTATACTTAATGTGCGTGAGATTTGTACTTAATGTGCCTGAGATTTGTACTTAATGTGTGTCATGTTAATATGCGTGAGTTTTGTACTTAATGTGCCTGAGTATTGTGTTCAATGTGCGTGAGATTTGTGCTTAATGTGCGGGAGTATTCAGAATTACGAGCTCAGAAGGAAGCAGAATAGAAACTCACGCACATTAACGCCCAAGCTTCTTGTTACTTCTTCCTTCAATTTGGCCATGGATTCTGGATTATCAGCTACCTTTAATGCAGTTGAATGTTTATATAAATGACGCACACACAGTAAAATTTGCACAGCAACTAAGTGTGAATTTCTGTTGTATTATTCCCATAATTCTTAACCACTATAGCTCGCCTCCGCATCATTATCATCAGGGAGGGGGCAAATTGCTACTGGGGATGGGGAAGAAGCTGACATCAATATTTTCTGCTGCATTTTACACATTCACGCACATTAATACAAATCTCAGGCACATTAAGCACAACACTCACACACATTGAGTACAAATCTCACGCACATTAATTCACCGCACATCCGCACGGGAAGCATTTAACCGCACGGGAACCTTTCACTATATATATATATATATATATATATATATATATATATATATATATATATATATATATATATATATATATATATATATATATATATATATATATATATATATATATATATATATATATATATATATATATAGGGAAGGGTTCAGGTGCGGGTATAGCTTCCCGTGCGGTTGTGCGGTTAAATCTGAGTAGTTGATCAAATTTAGATCAACGGCTCAAATCAATGAAAATAAAAAATAAAAAATAAATAAAAAAACGCGTGCCTGGAACAAATAAGTATAAGCTAAGGTGCACTTTAAGTACAAAACCAACACACATTAAGCATAACCTCACGCACATTAAGCACAAAACCCACGCACTTTAAATATTAACTCACAGACTTTAAGTTTCAACAACTACTGACATTAAGTACAAAACTCACGCACATTAAGTACAAAACCCACGCACATTAAGCACAAACATCACGCACATTAAGCACAAAACTCACGCACTTTAAGTATTCACTCACAGACTTTAAGTTTTAACAACTATTCACGTTAAGCACATCCCCACGCACATTAAGCACAAACCTCACGCACATTAAGCACAAAACACACGCACATTAAGCACAAAACTCACGCACATTAATCACAGATCCGCTCACCTTAATTTTGACCTAAATGCAAAAATTACAAAATTGCCACCGTGTTTTTTTTTTAAACTTTGACAATCCTGGACGTTGATTAAAGCGAGATGAATGGTTCAGATTAAACCGCACCTGAAGCCCTCACCCGCACGAGAACCTAAATATATATATATATATATATATATATATATATATATATATATATATATATGGATGAGATTAATTAGGGGATTAAAACATACGTGCATATTAGACATATGATGTATGCGCATATTAAGTCTGTGTATATATTAAGCATGTGGTTCTCATGGACTCATCACTCATGGGGACGACATTAGTTCTCATAAAATTTTATTCTAATTCATATATAAAGGATTGTGTAAAAGTATTTGTTTTAGTAAAAAATGAGATAAGTCTAGATCCCCTATCTTAAAATAATGGTAGATGAGATCTATTCTAAAGTTAAAAATAAAAAATAAAAAAAATACAATAGGATTTTTTGTAAATGTAGAACTTTAATTGCATTTATTGGAAGAAAAACAACAATGATTTGGTGAAAACAACATCACTTTGATGATGATGATGATAGGATTCTTTTTGTAAGTATGTAGAACTTTAATTGTATCTTTTTAAAAAAATAAAAAAACACTTTAATTGTATCTATTGGGAGAAAAATAACAATGTTTTGGTGAAAACAACACTATTTTGATAAAACCTATTAAAATAGAAAAATGTAGTAGCATTTTTTATAAATAAATAAATAAATAAATAAATAAATATATATATATATATATATATATATATATATATATATATATATATATATATATATATATATATATATATTGAGGGCTTTTTTTAGAATCATTTTGGAAAAAAAAAATTAATGATTTTGGATAAGACCATTATTTTAGACTAAATATGTATCTTCCTATATAATAAAGCCATAACTTATTGGCCAATCAGATTTGTGAGTTTTCCCGTCCAAAGTTTTGAGAATTTTTTTTTCTTTTTTTGATTTTTTTATTAATTAGTTTTGGAACCTGACTTTTGGGATGCATGCGTTAATTATGAGATTTATTATTGTAAATGACTGAATTTAAAATGAGTCTGTTCAAATGCCATATAATCGTTGGAAAACGAAATCTTTTTATTAAACATCATGTCCCTTTGGGACTCTTTTGGTATCCGCAAGATTTGCATTAATTACCTATTATATAAATACCTCTTCTAATTATAAACAAACCTAGCAGTTCATTTGAAGTACAAACACTGTAGCCGATATTGTTGGTTTATTATTTCGATAAACCAACAACACTATAAATAGGTACTCAGACTTCAAGTGGTTAGCAGAGGTTAGATATGCAAAAAAGTTCAAAACGGAGGGAGGCAATTCAAATTTTACTCAAATTGATTGTGAGTGAAAAGGAGATAATTTTACATTTTGGTGATATCAATTTGTCTTTTAATTGAAAAATTACTAAACATTGTTTTATTATTAAGTTTAACTGAGTTGGGTTATCACTAACATTGTTTTATTATTAAAAAATCACTCATGGGATTCTTGAAAAAAAAAAAAAAAAAACATTTTATGTTTTATACTATTGGGTTAACATGGTTCTTGGACAGAAAAACATCCTATGCATCTCATGAAGAGATTGATTACTGTTAAACTTTTGAATGTTTTGGGTATTTGTTATGTTTGTTTAACCTAACTGTTATATTTCTATTTCCTATTACTTTAGTCATTATTTCAGCTCATTCAAATTTTTTAAAGTGCAGCAAGTCAGGTTAAAGACATACTCTTGGACTTGACAGATTATTGAATTCTCATACTCTTGAGATTCTGGAATTATGAAGTTGGATTTTGTTTCATGGAATTTTGGAGACATATATAAATATGAGGTTTTTATAATTTTTAAAACTTAGCATTTGCACTTTAATTTGTATGTTGGAAGTTTTGTTTTCATAGTGTAATTAGGTGCTGTATTTTGTGAAATGAACACTTACAGCTGTAAAAGCTATACCAATTTTCCTAAATGATTCAAATACAGCTTCTTTTTTTAAAATAAAGTATTGAACTTGAATGGGTCTTAATGAAGAAAAAAAAAAAGTTGACATAGTTATATTTCCAGTTTAGTATGAATGTTTAAAAAAAAACATGTATATTGAGCATTAAAATGCTCCATTCTAATGGGAAAAAAGTCTGGAAAATAAACACTTAGAGCTGCTGAAATGACTAAGGAAGAACATACTCAAAAAAATGCATATGTTATATTTTACATACTCAGACTTAAAAAAACATGGCATCAGACTGTTTTCTTCATCATCTGCCTAATTTCTATATTATATTTCCAAGCGACATAACATACTCAGAGTATGTTATCTTAAATACTCAGTTCTTATATTTTACATATTCAGACTTAAAAAAACAAGGCATTAAACTACTGTTGATATTCCGCTGGAAGAACATACTCAAATTATTTTAGGCCAGACTTGGCTCCTAGAGTATGTTATTCTACATACTCAAATAAAAAAAAATAAGGCAACAGACTATTTTGATCATCATCTGCCTATTCTATATTTATATTTCCAGGCATCAGCAGAATGTTTTAAAAACATGTATATTGAGCATTAAACTCCTCCACTATAATGGGGAAATAAGATTGTGAAATTAACACTTAGAGCAATATATATAAATGAAAAAAAAAATTAGATCAGCAATAAATGAAAATGGCACTTATCTGCTGGGATAAGCAATATTTAACACGACTTGTTCATAGATCGAATAGATCTACCGCTGGTGTACTCAATGAACATATCGTATATGGAAAATGTTGAAATTGTCGTTGTAAAGAAACCAAAAGCTTGGGACATTAAACCAGCTGCTCGATGCCTCGATGGTGCTCGACGGTGGTGATTCCATTGAACCACCAAGTCGTCCGAAGCACCTTAGGTACGAAATGTCGTCTGAGTAGTTTTGAGAGAGAGGAGAATCGTCGGCTGAAATGGAAGGGGTTGGGTACTAGCAAATTATGTTGTGCATCTGTGTGCACCATGCATGGTGCATACAGATGCAAAAACGACGTCGTTTTTATTAAAAACACACGTCCGCTTAAAAAAAAAAATCAGTTTCGATTCCCGACAACAACATTATGTTGTGTATATCCAGAATCAATGAACTAAAAATCCAGAATCAATGAACTAAAAATCCAAAATGAATGAACTAAAAATCCATAATGAATGAACTAAATATCCAGCATGAATGAAAAAAAAAAAACCAGTTTCGAATTCCGTCTAAAAATCCAGAATCAATGAACTAAAACTCCAGAATGAATGAACAACATAATGCTGTTGAGGGGAATCGAAACTGAATTATTTTTTTTAATTGGGACGCGCGTTTTTAGTCAAAACGACGTCATTTTTGCATCTGTGTGCACCATGCATGGTGCATACGGATGCACAACATAACGATTGTTGTCAATCGTTATGCTATGGACCCGTGTCCAGCATGCATTGTGGACACGGTAACGGTGCCATTAGTGGCACCGTTATCTTCCATTTTTTTTTTTAAATTTCAGACCGCTTCGTTAAAGGAGTATATGTTCATAATTTTATCACTATATGTTCATAATTGTAAGTTCATAATGTCAGAGATCTGTGTTCATAATTCTATAACTGTGCATTCATACTTCCATATTACATTTATAATTTCGTAACTGTACATTCATAATTCAATAACTGTAAATTCATAATTTTCGAAGCTCTATGTTCATAATTTTATCACTATATGTTCATATTGTAAGTTCATAATGTCAGAGCTCTGTGTTCATAATTTCATTACTGTACATTCATAATTCTATAATTGTACATTCATAATTCTTGTTAACTCCAGTCCTCCAGTATAATTGTATACTCCAGTATTCTTATTTAATAATGTATAATTGTACATTCATAATTCTTGTTAACTCCAGTCCTCATTTAAAATTGTATAACTCTCATCATTCCTACTTTTTTCTTCTTGTCTTTGAGTGTCTATGTTATCCGTATCTCAGACCATACAACCGTCACGAAATGTCATATCGTTCTTCTCTATGTGTCTTCTTAGGATATCCTGAGTCATTCCGGGGATATAGGTGCATGGACTTACAGACTAACAAGATTTATGTGTGCAGGCATGTGAGGTTTGATGAGACAGTTTATCCCTTTGCTACTAACACTACTGTGCAGTCTCCCCAACCTGTGCAAAATTACCCATGGGCCGAATCTGTTCTTCGCCCCACACCTCCTGCTACTTCCTCCCGCGGCACGGAACCACCTGCTACATGCCCGCCACAACCACTCGCAGCAACAACTGCTTCACCCAGCAAAAACGATCCACAGTCTTCACCGCCGCACACTGCTGTCAACCCACCAGATGTGCCTGAACATGAGCCGCATGAGCCCACGGACCATTCTGCCAAGCGGCCTCATCGCGGCGACCTCGAGGTAAAACTGTTAAATCCACAATTCGTACTCACGAGATGAACACTCATAGTCGCTCTCAGACTCCTCAATCAGCTTTAACGGTTCAGGTGTGTCCTTCAGATCCTACTTGTTACACTCATGCAATTAAATTTTCAAAATGGCGTGAGGCTATGGATCAAGAATTTAATGCCCTTCTACAGAATCAGACATGGCAACTTGTGTCATCTCAGCCAGGTATGAACATTATTGGATGTAAGTGGGTTTTTCGTACGAAACGAAAAGCAGATGGCTCCATTGAAAGGCACAAAGCAAGACTTGTTGCAAAAGGGTTTAATCAAGTACCCAGCCAGGATTTCTTTGATACGTTCAGTCCAATGGTCAAACCGACCACAGTTAGGTTACTTCTCTCTCTGGCTTTATCATCAAGATGGTCTATTATGCAACTGAATGTTCATAATGCATTTTTAAATGGAAATCTATCTGAAACTGTGTATATGAAGCAACCACCTGGATATATTGACGCCTACTATCCAAATCATGTCTGCTTATTGAAAATGTCACTTTACGGATTATAACAGGCTCCTAGAGCTTAGTTTAATCGTTTGCACACATTTCTATTATCTATTGATTTTCAGGCATCAAAAACGGATGTGTCCCTATTTTACTACTCACAGGGATCTGATTGTGTATATCTATTAGTTTATGTGGATGATATACTTATGATGGGAAGCAATACAGATCTAGTCACTCAGCTAGTTTCGATACTTTCTACTGCTTTTAAAATCAGAGATCTTGGTGAACCAGATTTTTTTTCTTGGAATTGAGGCAGTTAAATGCAGTGATAGAATTTTACTTTCACAACAGAGATACATGCATGGCATTCTAAAACGTGCCGGAATGGCTGAGTGCAAACCTTTCTCTACCCTTATTTCTACTTCGAAAACCGTGGTCTTTGATACAACATTGTACGATGATCCTACACAGTACAGGAGTTTGGCTGGTGCATTACAGTACTTAACTGTCACTCGTCCTAATCTTTCCTTTTCAGTCAATCAGTTGTGTCAACACATGCATTCTCCTACAGTTTCACATTGGGAACAATTAAAAAGAGTTTTGAGGTATGTTAAAGGAACTATTACTTTTGGTTTACGAGTTAGAAAGTCTTCTTCAAGGGAAATTAATGCATTCTCTGATTCTGACTGGGCTGGTTGTCCGGGGGACCGAAAATCTACAAGTGGCTTTGTTGTATTATCTTGGCTCTAATCTTGTGTCATGGGTCTACAAGGAAAAAAGAACTGTGGCAAGATCCTCTACTGAGGCTGAATATAAAGCTCTAACATATGTTTGTGCTGAAGTAACTTGGATCGTTTCACTACTGCATGAGATCAAAGTTCCAGGCATCTCTGTCCCTAAACTATGGTGTAATAATCTTGGTGCTACTTATATGTGTGCAAATCCCATCTTTCATGCTCGTACTTTGCAGACATATTCACAAATCTTTGCCTAGTCCTAGATTTTTTTTTCTTAGAGACAAGCTACGGGTTACTAGCATACCATGTGCTTGAGGGGGAATATTAGGATTAATATTAGGACTCTATGTATTTGAGTCACATTATGACTCCTTATCCTAGTCTCCCTATGATTCCTCTTGTATATATTCCCCCAATCTATACACTTGTTCAACAGTTCATTCAATACAGTTTTATACAGTTCTCATCTTTATAATTGAGCAATATCCTCTCTCCTCCATGTTTCTCTCCTATTTTCCTTCTCTTCTCTAAAAGTTATTTTCTCTCCTGTTTTCCTCTTCATCGATGCCGCCACCGGTCGCGAGCCAGCTTTTCCGACGTTTGAAGAGCAGTGGAGTCTTCCGCGACGTCTCTCCGTTGATATGCATGGTTAATTATTGCAAATTGAATTTCCAGTGAAACTGAATCTTTTATGTTCTTGATGTTTCAGGAACGCCATTGGACTTCTCCTGCCATGGCTGCAACATTACAGGCATTAATTAATACTCCTCAGTTTGATATATTGAAACAGGCTCTTAGAATTGCACCTAGGCTTCTTGATGTCATTTTGCTATAGCAATCCATGATGTCAATGATTGTATATTCTGGGAATTTCTGTAATTAATATTTGCATGAAGAGATGTTTTCCTCTACAATTAATGAAATGGTTTCAGTAAGTGCTTATATATGAATGTGAAACTGATATTTTATTCATGTAACATATCTTTGTAACGCTTTTATGTCCGTTTTTCGTTTGGTTGGTTCTCGCTTTTACTGTTACTGAACTTCTCCCAAAACTAGTTGCTTCGAATCTCCATGTCGTGCTCATCAGAGGAAATTCCATTTCTACGCCGAAAACCAACCTGAGGATCGTGAGTAGACTGGAAGAGATGATGAGAAGAGTCAGGCTCGCTTCTAAGTGCACAACAACACAAAACAAGTACACACCAGAATGTTTAACATCTTTTCTTACACAAACTAGTTGTGCAAATTTTGGCACACACAGTCAACCCAAATGTACACCCTAATTTATCAACCCAAGTGCACATTAACTTGTTTTGCGTCTTTTCATCCACATACTCATTATTAACGTTATGTCACACACAGTTTAACCCAAGTGCACAACATAGTTCTTAACACCAATCTGGTTTAGGTGCATGCACACATTCGTTAACCTAAGTGCACATGGTATTTCATATATCAATGTTCTTGAACATCATAACACAAACTCATTGACCCAAGTGCACACATAGCACAATCCAAGTACGCACCAAAATGTTTAACATCTTTTCCTACAAAAACTAATCTTGCAAATTATGACACACACACTCACACAGTGTAATCTAAGTGTACACGGTAGTATATCAATTTTCTTTCTCGTCTGCATTTGTATAATTCAGATTTGTTAAAAATATAACAATTGATTTTATTAGCTACCTGACATGCAAAATGAAATTTAAGAAACATGTAATGGAGAGAATCTGAATATAATGGGTGTAGAGTTGCTTCCATAGACGGAGCCAGAGGGGGGGCAGGGGGTCAGCTGCCCCCCCCTCCCCCTCACCCCACCCCACCCCTACCCTATATTGTATATAATATGTATATATATAGTACATTATTCATATAAGTACTATAAAACAGATTATGTAAACAAAAGTTGTGATAGACAAGGTGGTAGCTAATGTTTATGAGTTTCGAAATGACTTGGGTTCAAGTTTTTGCATTGACAATGTCACATAGTCTTTTTCACTTTTTTGATTAACACAATTAAATTTTGGCATGATATATATAACTTCCATATAACTTTCTTTATATTAATAATGGAATGTGTAATTTATAATGCGTTTTATATTCGAATTCTTCACTTTTTTTATTAACACAATTAAATTTTGGCATGATATATATAACTTCCATATAACTTTCTTTATATTAATAATGGAATGTGTAATTTATAATGCGTTTTATATTCGAATTGTTTTATCAAATTAATTATGTTTCATATTTTGTTATAAATATTTTTATAAAATTTTAATATGTTTTATTTTTCGCTATATCCAACAATATTTATTGTTATACATTTTAAGTATTTCATTTTTTTAAACATTCTCTTTTATTTTAATTTTTATCCCTCACTAAAAAAATTTTCTGAATCCGCCATTGAATTCATCCTTACTTTTTTGCCCCCCTCGACATATTTTCTAGCTCCGTCCCTGGTTGCTTCCTTATTTTGTCTTTTTAAAATCATAGAAAGAATCTAAATATAATATTTTCATTTAATTATTTGCTGGTGAAAATTAACTAATATTTTTTAGAATTAATTATAATTTAAATACACATTAAATTGATAAATTATCTTGACTATTAATCATTAAAAATTTAATGGATTAAATTAGTTCTTCAATAAGAACCAAGGAAGGGTTCTTACTTGAAATCAACCCTAAAAACGCAATTTTATATATATATATATATATATATATATATATATATATATATATATATATATATATATATATATATATATCTAAATAAAAACATAATAAGTGTGAATGAAAGTTATACCATTTATTTATGTCTATTTTTTCCGTTAAGTTTTTTTATACATTATGCTATA